TCATAAAAGTGGGTAAGTTTATTCATGTTTTTTTCACTCCCAGAGCCAAGTTTTGGATTAAATAGCTTTTTCATTTTTCTTCCCCAGAGAGTTAGAGTGCACAACATGCATCATCCTGTCTATTTATTTATTTATATCTAGACTCTCCTACCATCTTCTACTAAGCAACTCTTTTTATTCTCTGAACATTTTAATCACTGTTCTTCACACCAGTTCTCGTTTGGAGTATTCTCTTGAGCACAGACAATCATACATGCATTCAGTATGGCCAGGGAGTATAACTGCCCTAACATTTCCTTTTTTTTACTGGAATTACCTCCGAGGCTCCCTCTCGCATTTTTCATGGTGGCTCATGGTCATTCTAGAATTAGAAAATAATGACATGAACCCAGGTCATCTTATTTTATGTCACAACCACAAATGGTAGATATTCTTTAAGGCTCTGGGGATGAAAAGGGAACATTTGGAACTATTAAAGAATATGTCCAACTATAACATAAGCAATAATGCTAGAATATTTGATATAAACTGGGTTGCAACTAGCTAATAGAAACACAATGGACTAAAGAGACAGTAAGAGAATATAAGCAATCAAGATACAGGAAAACACTAACATCAACATAGGAGCAGGCCAAAAAATTAAAAGTCCTTAGAGGTAGTATTATGAAAGAAAAAGCCCCATACAGATACTACCAATTACCAGAGTCTCCCCATAACAGACGCTGTGTACATGAAAACTGACAGTGAAAACTGCTCCAGCTTCCACCATCATACTCTAACTTTGCAGCAAATGTTTTAAATGAAAATTTCTGAAAAGGAGCGCTCCTTGCTAGCACAACCAAAGGTCCTCACAGTAATAACTATTTCTCCATTGTGAAATCTCAAGTAAAGGCCAAACCTTACCAACCCACAGCATACAAGGTCCTAATAAACTGCTTAATTACTATATTCAATGACAAATGACAAATTAGGTTACATCACTTACTTCCATGTCTTTAATTACTCTGTCTTTAAAACATTTTAAGAAGTCTTGCATCATGTGATCAGACTGAAATTCCAGACTTGTGGCTAGGAACTAATTTCATCACTTCTTTCTTTCTTAGTACAAGTTACTGGCAGATCTAGTACAGCCTTTTGACTAGATCTGCTATTTTTCAACCATATGAGAGTCCTAGAGGTTGTCCTGTTAAACTACACCTACATGGAATACAATATAAATGCGAAGTAGTATGGGAGGGTCTAATTATGTTTATAAAAAGTTCGCCTCCTAAATACTGTTAATATTCAGGATATAAAGCATTGTAACAGAGTTATTAAATCAGTGAGAAGATGATATTATGCTGCAGTATAAACCTATGGAGCACTTGCAGCATGAATAATGTGTAGAGTCAGCTCCCTACAGCCTAAAAAGTGCAGGAACCGAAAAAGCCTGAGAATGGCATCAAAACATAACTGACGAAGGAAAAGGTTTCTCTGTGAAGAATGACCAGAAGGCTGTAAAGACCCCACACCAGGGAAATGACAAAGCTGTATAAAACCTTGAGCGACTTGGAGAACATTAATAGATTGCTTACTGTCTCCTCCAAGCAGTGGGCATGAAATTAGATTTGCAGGTGACATTTACAAGAAACAAAAAGGATTTGGTTCTTCACCCAACAAAGCTTCGAGCAGAGGAGACTCCCTGATGCTGTAGAGGCTACAAGTTTTATAGATCTTTGCAGTCACAATTTAAACCCAACAAGAGGCAGTAATGCGAAGATGCTACCTCTGATCACGAATACCTCAACCACCAAGAGCATAAGTCTAAAAGTGTATTCTGGGGAAAGATCAGGATATGTTTGCTCCGCTGTTACCATTTTCCATATGCATGAAGTATTGGCCAGTTCATTGCCATGCTCTTGTAGCATTCAGAAAAGAAAAGAAGGCACAAGCCTAGAAATTGTATAATTTGATAGTCTTTTATGTTCTGTATGTTTTACATTAACTATGAATTTAAAAGCTAGGTGTGGCCAATGAGGTGCACAGAGGCTTTCATAACACTTAAGAAGGCACGTTCTTCGAGTTCTTCATACACGCTGCACACTCGTAAGCAAGTATTCAATGAAATGAAATCAGGGTTAAGGCTGGGGTTTAACCCATGGCTGAAGGAACTGGAAAAGGCCAGAACAGGGGCTAAGAATGCATTTGGATATTATTGGTCTGTGTATGATAAAGAATATAGTGCAATGAGGACTAAATGTCAGTGTTAACAGTCATTTCCTCAGCTTTGTGACTGCTCTGACAGGCAATGGACCTTAGTATCTATCCTTAATGTTAAGTTACAAGAGCTTATTTGAGCTTTTTTTCCCCCTCTCGCAGAGTAGAAGAAACTGAAACTGACAAATGTCATGATGAGCTTTTTTTAATTTTATGTATCTTAACACTTACAAAGTTTCCCATGGAAATTCTCCAATATATTACTCAGATTATAATTCATTACAAAACATGCAAAAGTATCTGAAGGAATTCCAGTTATGCCAGCTTCTGAACTATTTGAAAACTAGCTTGTGTGTGATCTTGTCCATTTGACTGACTCACTAATGTTCAAATGGTCATATTAATGCACATACACATTTGGAGTTTAGGGCTCGGCCTGCTGTTTCTAACTCATAAAGTAATAGTACTTCTCAAAAATATTTTATTTGGAACGATGCTCCATATAACTGACACAAACTGGCAGGTAGTTCTAGCCCTCAAAACAACACAGCTTACCTGGTATAACCCTGCACAGTACAAGCAGCTATTTACAATGTCTCAAGAAATCTTCACCAAAAAGCATACCCCAGCTTCACACACCTATAATTAATTACTGTAGGTTTTTTTTTTTTTTTTTTTTTAAATCAAACCATGTAAAAGACCAAACTACTTCCTGAGGTAGAGTTGCAACTCTTGAAAAATCTCTCAGTTTTTTTACAGCAAAGTTAACAATTTTATCAATTTGAGCTGCAGATAGTATACATTTTCACAGCATGAATAAATAAGTAACCTTTTTCATCAGGATTTTACTCGAGTGCCTTTTTTGCCTCTGTGGTTTTCAATGAAAGGTATATCATCAAATTTCATACATCTCAGACTTTATACTACCCTTAGTCTGTCTTTCTGCAGTTAAAGAAAGGATTATTTGAATGTTTCTCTATAAGCATTTGTTTCTCGCTTCTCCCAGGTCTCTTCACTGCAGTTATACTGGAAATTCTTCTTTAAAGGCAATCAGACTACATGGAAACTCTTCTTCACTCCTCAAATCATACCTCACATCTAAAATTCTTATTTGAGAAATTCTCTGCTTTTGCAGTCTTAATCCTCACCTTAGTAAAGTCTAGGGAAGCACACGTCTTTTAGTATAAACGAGGCTAAATCAGAAAGGCTACATAAGACACCACATCTCACTGCAGTTAAACCACATGTGCCATTATATACACACACACACACACACACACACATATATATATATATAAAACTAAGATTGGTCAGAAGTAACAGAGTGGATACTGAGCATCCTTTAACAGGGCACAAAACGGGGACACTTTAAAAGGACACTTTAATGGTAAGTTTTCACCTTAGACAGAAAGGATCATTTTAAATGGTAGTAATAATATGGTCAATTCAACCTCCCTGCTCACAAAGTTCTTGAGCAATGTTTGGAAATGGGCAACACTGTTGGCAACTAACACCTGGAGCCTCTTGGGCTTTCTTACATACTCACTTAGCATCCGAGAACTGAAATTACATTTGCCTCATTCTCCATGCTGCATATAGTTCACTAAGCTAGTCATTACATTTCACACCAAGTATTTTCTTTCTTATCTTAAAGGCTTCCAAGGTGATTTTCAGTAGAAGCCATCCCAAGGAAGATTAAAAAAAGAAAGAAAAAAGGAAAAAAAAGAGGAACTTAAAGACTAAGTAATACAAATACTATCTGGAAGCTGACTAGACTTCAAGAAGAAAATTAACACCTTTTTCACTGTTATCTTCTACTGAAGAATTCGAAGCCAGTAAGTATCTTCAATTCACAGCAAAACAAATGGTCCTGCTACCAATACGGTAGAGTGGAGAGAAGCTAGGCATGAAATAGACAACCTGTTTTCTAGAGAAAAAAAAATCTTTTCTAAAAAAACATGCAGAAAAACATTTCAAAATAAGATATTTGTTAATGTGTACAAATAACAGAAGGGTAACTAGTGAGAAATTAGCATTGCTATTGATTTTGAAAAAACAGGAACATGTAATAAAGATATTGTATTTCTCCCTCCTGTTGGTGTAAGAGACAACATAAAAGTACATAAACAGCAACTAATTCACATTCCCCAACCGACTCCTGTACTTACTGAGTACTCCTATAGGTTCAGCATATGCTGACTGGACAATTAAATTGTTTGGATTGGGGTTTCTAAGAAGGAGTCTAGTTTCTATTGACAACTCTTAAATTGTGCATGCACAAAAGATGTCTGTTTCTGCCACGAAGAGGGTACAGTACTACTTTGGAATATGGACTGGAATAGACCATATGAAGAGAATCATTTTGTGTAAATTCATCTGTCTCACTGTACAATCTCATATAGCCAATATGAAAAACATGAGCTAATTATTCAACATTTGCATACAAACTACATATTTGGAGATTTTGTGGAATGGTTCCCTGTGTGATCCTGTGCCAGTTCTGAGCCTCTCTAAGTCTCTGTTCCCTTGTTTGCAAAACATATTAATTTTAGTTATGCATGATGGGGTGGAGACTTGATTAACTCAAGTTTGCAAAGAACTTTCAGATCTACAGAATCTATGTAAAGAACGACTTTAAATAAATAAAAAAATAAAAGCAAAGCAGCATTTAAATCCAGCTGCAAGCAGAAAGTGTTCTGTGAATCAGCTTCAAACAGAACAAAATTGTATGAACATCATTTTGCAGAAGATCATATTTACAGTAAGGATAAAATATGTACAGTAAAAATAACTTATCCACTTACTTCTTCCTTATTTCTAGGTCTGAAACTGGAACACATCGTAGGCCAGCTCCCAATACCATCAGGGATGATGTTAATAACACAGTTACTCTCAGACCTAGGATGAAAAACAACAGTATTTTACACATTAAGCCAGCAATAGCGCAAAAACCATAGTCTAAATATATACATTTACATGCAGCATCACATAGTTCTCCATCTCTAATCAAAAACACTTCAGTACTGTCATGAAGTACAAGTATATAGTGAAAGCCTGTGTTATCTTCTGTGCCTTCCACTTCAGGATTACAGAGGCTTACACATTTGGCATACTGCTCCACAGGATTGTACCCAAAAGCCTAGAGACACTCTTGGAAATGAAAAGTGATGTTAGAAGCATCATAAATGGTACAATATTTCCTTTACAATCATAAGTGCCAGGGAACATCCTCTGCTGTGTGACATGAATTCTGGTTACAGCAAAAGAGCTGGACCTGTATGTTTTATTTTCCAACCACTTCATCAGTGCACATACAAAACTGTTACCATTTTCTTTTGTAATGCTGACACACAGTTCATCTTGAAGTAGTAACTATTTATTCAGTGGAAAAAATGCACATATTTTTTGTAGACCTTGCAATTAAACATTTTTGCTGCACTCAGCTCAAAATGTCAGAGACTGTAAACACAATACATTAGAAAAAAGCTGCAGTTGACCAATTCTGTAAAAATGCATTTTCCTCATATTGTAGTTCTGGACCAAGAAGCACTTAGATCAGGAAGAACTTTATTTCAGGGCTATAATTTCATTTGCCAGCAGTTTACTTGCCAGGATGTTTCCATCTCCAGGAGGTAGACAGAAAACAGTCACAACTGAGGGATTTAACCTCCAGAGTCTTACAGAACAAGGTAATCAAATATATATCAATTAAAAATCACTGCTATAATCTGCCTCTCTTAAAAATAGAAAGAAATTCACAACAACAAATGCTGAAAATAAAGGGCTTCCAAATTCTTAGCAGAATAAAAGAATTAAGCAACAAGAAATACAAAGAGGTATTTCTTACATTTACATGAAACTCTAGTAATTATCCAAAACACAGTAACTACCCCAAAACCACATTTAGACAACTGGCTGAGTAAACCCACATAACAAACAAGCCAGAAGTTCTGCTCAGGCTTGCTCATCAGCTCTGCACTTAACCACCACACATTGCTGTTAAACTGGATTTTCAAGTGTTCCTGTTCAAACAGCCCTAACTCACATGTTCACCACGTGGCTCAAAAACCTGTTTTTGTTCTTCATGTTTTCTGTGTAACTGTGTGAGCTTTTACAGCACACTTCCACCTGTATTGCCCAAATACCTCGCAAAATGTTAAGTAATGTTTTGAAGGGGAGGGTAATAATTTGCATTGGGATTGCATATGTGATGTTGTTTATACCGTTTTCCCCCTTGAAATGATTCTTCATTAGCACTACTCTTACACAGTGAGAATTCATACAATTAGCGTTTTTATTGGTGGAAAGTCAAATGCAAGCCTTAACTGGAAAATCTGAAATCTTTTATTTGTAAGTGCTGCTGCAATGTTTCCAGGAAGCTGTAAGCTATGCCCTCACCTTCTTATTCTTCATGTAGACCAGGTGCTCTCTAAATTATGTTTCAGAAAATGTATCATGTTCTGCCTTTTAGGAGATACGAGGAAAAGGAAAGACAACTCAGAAATTCCTGGCTACATGACATAACAAGACACAGCTCAGATGCAAACCCAGGGTATACAAGTAATTAGTACTACAGGAATATTTAGGTTTAACCATCACAGGACACTTGAGAGGCATTTCCAGGTCATAAACTCCCATTTGATTTTTTATTTTTAAATCAATACAAAGTTTTAATTTAAATGCTCATAAACTTTCATTAAAACACACAATTCAGTAAAAGAACAAATGAATGTCAAAACTTTCCACCAGCCCTGTTTCTTGGCTAATCTTTAATGTCAATCTTACAAGTCAGGCAAGGTAAGTCATTATTTTAAAATAATCAGCGAGAATCTTGCAATCAAGCTATTTTCCATTTTTCTAAACATTCTTTGAAGCCTTCATCTTGAAGGCCACACACTGCACAGTGCCACTTTTAAGTGTTTTGATTGCATAGATGATTTTTGTTTGCATGTTAAGGGAAAACAAGAGGCCAACACACCTAAAAATTCCTTCGGTTAAATCAGCACATTAAAAACCATGACACCAGATTGGAAACACATATTAGATATCATTTTCCTTGTTAATTCCATGACTTCTCTCCCTCTGAGCACCGCCTCTTTTCTTTTTTCTTTACTTTTCAACTTTCTGAATCTATTTTCCTTTTCATCATTGCTAAAAATCAGTATATCTGTAATAATTATTTTATAGTTATTCAAATATTTTTGCTTTGAACTTTGCAGTGGATGTTAAAAGGAATTAAAAGTCTTATATTACACAAACACATACAAAGTAGCATTTTGAATTGTTATGCATCATGAGGCCAATAAACTAAAGTTATCAACCAAGTCCAAAGAAGCACGTGATGCTTTAGCAAGAAATTATATCTCTATTTTAAAAGCAATTCGCACAGCCAAGATTTTGAATAGATCACATCAGCTTTGCTAGTTTTAAAAAACAACCAGCAACTGATCCGGAGGGAGGCACTATATTCATATATCAAAACTCCCAGACATTTTCCAGTTTTTTGCCCTCTCCTATCAGAGTTTTCTGGCAAGCAGATGGAAAGGGATAATTGAAATGGATTTTCTGCCAATGCAGGAAGTTTCCTGTTCTTTAGAGTCTTTCCTGCTGGCTGCTCATACCCAGCTTGCGCTTGCTGGAGATTTTGGGGACACCCCCCAGGTTCACTATACAAACTGTGCCCGTGTCCTCAGTGGGCAAACAGCACCAGTGGAAATAGAGAAGTCCAAGCCAGAAGCAGAAATTCTGAGTTAGTGATAAAAAGAGATATTAAATATAATTTATGAAGCCAATAATCAATATTGTTTAACGGCTTAATTCCTCCTGAGGCTAATCATAGAATCAAAATGGTTGGAAAAGACCTTCAAGATCAAGTCTAACCATAAACCCTTCAACCCCCTGCCTGCCAAACCATGTCCCCAAGCGCCTTATCTACACTTTTCTTCAACACTGCCAGGGACGGTGATTCCACCACTTCCCTGAGCAGCCTGTTCCAATGCTTGACTACTCTTTCCATGTAGAAATTATTCCTAATGTCTAACCATATTGTATTAGTGGCAGTAATACAATATGCCAGTATTGTATTAACTGATTTACTTGGTAAATCAGTAACTGATTTGCTACGCCTAGTTTAATAAAATGCTTAATAAAAAACACCATGCAACTAGAATAAACTTCTCATTCCAGCTTATTATACATGATCGGTTTATCATTCATAAAAAGGATGAGGTTTACAAAGGAAATAGTTATTGGTACATCCTTTAGGAAGTGTGACCATTTCTTCCTTCACTGCAGTGATGAAACATTACAAGAAGTATGAATGAGACCGTAGGAGACAAATCCTCAGAGAGATTTCACCATCCCTTCTGCCAGAGGAAAGGCTGTAGGATGCAGCCCACCAATGCGACAACCAGAAGTCAACTTCCCACCTCTCTCAAACAGCAGTATTTAAGAGTTTTATCTCTTTCAGGTGCAGACATTAAAAGCAGGCCACAGGAATACAAAAATACAACAACGCTCTAGTTAAAAGCAAATGATGCCAACTCAGCACATCTGCAGTTTTTATAGGGCAGGCAGGAAACAAGAATCATCCCTTATGACACTGAACTCCAAACATTTTAATAGCACTAAACTACCAAAATGCCATCCTGACTACAGTATCACAATCCTCTCTTGATGCATGATCATCAAGAAGTAAGGTACACAGCAATTTCAATGGCAATTCCAATAATTTACTGTTAAATTGTGCTTTATTCAGTTCTGGAATTGTTTTTGTGCATCCAAACACAGCTCTCACTGTGTTTGGGTTAAAGTGCCCTTTTTAAGCTGGGAAGATTTCTTTCTCGGAGTCTCCATTTTGTAGGAAGGGCCCTTTTTTCTTCCTTTTTCGTATACGGCTTTACATTTAGCCATATTCAAACAGAAGTTTGATGAAATAGATCACCATTATTAGGCAATCTTGAATGTGCTGCATGACCACCCCAGTTTTATCATTATCCACTACTCCAGAATTTTTTTAAATGTCGTTTTAATAAAATTATACAAATATCCACTCCATTTATTATCACAAAATCAGTTATTCTTGTTATGATTTTAAAAACTGCTACTCTGCTACTAAATACAGTGAAGAAAATGTCTGTCATGCTTTCATTTGGCCAAACTCTTCCTTACTTCTTATTAAAAATGGTAGGTAGCAGTTCTTTTTTCCAAAAGAAAGATCATTGAGACAATCAATATAATTCTCAAAAGAAAAGACCCTTTTCACAACTTTAAACAGATTTCACAGCTGAGATGGGGTTGCAATCTTGCTATTAGCACGTGGAAAAAAAAAAAAGCTTGAAAAAAATCAGCATGTCAGGTCTCCCTTGGATTCCACAAAAGCCTTTGATTGCAGAGGAGAATAAATTGTGTTTGGAAGCTCAATGGAAAATAAACAGCTTCAAGAATAGCATCAGCTATACCTGCAAGTAACAAAACCTGGTTACCAAATAGAGAAACTGGGCAAGAGATAACAAACTAACAGGTCATATACAGCTGATGCGGGAGAAGAAATATATATATATATATGTATATATACACATACACACATTCTGACTATCAAAATAAGAACAATGTCATAGGTTGGGGTTAAGGCCCAAACTTCCTCGATCACCTCTTTCTCTGGATACCTAATTAAACTTAAACCAATTGTTTTCCATCCATTTCCGTGACTCTGTGAGACACTATCAAAAGAGCATCTGAATTTCAGTTTACAAGGTTTAAAACTTGAGCAGTTTTTTTTAATTGAAAAATAAAACATCTTCCTATTGACTTCATTTAAACATTCTGCAAGACGGGTGATAGCATCTTTCTGGTACCATGTAGTGAGAACCAAGCTCTATCACGCAGGACCTCTTCAA